TTATATTAAGCAAACCAGACGTCACTCCAACAATCAGACATCATTTACAAACGAAGCATGTGTGTTTAGTGAATCCGCCCGATCAGAGGCAGTAGGGATGACCAGGGATGTTCTCTTGAAAGTGCGAGAATTTGACAATTTTCCTGTCCTGCTAAGAATTCAAAATGTAATGAGTACTTTTGGGTGTCAGGGAAAATGTATGGAGTAAAAAGTACATTTTCTTTAGGAATGTAGTGAAGTAAAAGTTGTCATAAATGGAAATAGTAAATTACAGACATGGACGTTTCCCAGTTGCTTTGAATGTTCAAAATCATAGCGCAAGAACACTTTTAAAGCCTGAAAGGATAAGATGATCCAACTTTCAAAACTAGTCATTTTTGGCTAGCCACAGCAGTCAACTAGTTAGCCGTTTAGCTTTCTAGCTCATTCACTAATTTGTTTGTTAACAATTAAAAAGCTAGTTAGCTACCACATGTTATTTTTAAACTGTCAGAGTAGCTCGCAAGCAACAAGATATGCCAAATAAGTCTAAAAACCACTTGAGGGCAAATAAATCAGATTTTACCGTTCAGACAAGTCGCATGGCCAGGAATGAGATTTGTATCTGAATTCAAATCACCTACAAAGGTGGCTTGAAATATCAGATTCCATGTGCTTTTTGGCAGTTCAGACTGCAAAAAAAAGCACAGATTTGAATATTCCCCAAAAATGTATTTGAGTCGCTTCAAACTGCCAGTGTGAACAAGCCCTTAGACAGAGGAAAATATAACATTTTCATTCAAGATTATTTTTTTATTTAAAGTCCAATACAAACCCACTAAAAGGAGAAATGGTTGCCAAGACTAGACTACTCATTCAGCTTAACTCAACATTGTACACGTCACCTGATTCAGGACTTTCTGTACATTTATGAATTAAATGCTAAACTGGGATATGTCCTGACTCCTAAATGATCATGAAGGATATGTCCATTGTAAAATAACAGTTTGATAAAACAATATATCCTCCACTTGAATGAATACCTAAGAAATAAGTGTTTTTTTTATATTCTCTGAAAATGTTAGTGTGCGCATTTGGGGAGTTAAACTTCATTTCCTCAGTTTATGCAGTTTGTTTATAATCTCTCAAGTTGCTTTTTTAAGTCTTTATCCACATCAGCTAGAATTCTTTGGCCAAAAAGCGTGAGCAATTATTTTACATTTACAAGTTTTAAATTCAACAAAAAAAACAAAGATTACTTACTATATTTTAATTAAATTAAAAAAAAAAAAAAATCTCTCTTCATAAAAGACCATAAAATAACCAGACCATAGCCAATCAAGTTAACAAATATCTTGAATTCTTAAGCTTACAGAATCAAACCAATTTAGTTGCCTGTCAAACACTTTGTGAAACCAAGTGTGAAAATTGACTTACAAATAAAAGGCACATACAGTTGAAGTTGGAAGTTTACATACACTTAGGTTGGAGTCATTAAAACTTGTTTTTCAACCACTCCACTTCTTTTTAACAAACTATAGTTTTGGCAAGTCGGTTAGGACATCTACTTTGTGCATGACACAAGTCATTTTTCCAACAATTGTTTACAGACAGATTATTTCACTTATAATTCACTGTATCTCAATTCCAGTGGGTCAGAAATTTACATACACTAAGTTGACTGTGCCTTTAAACAGCTTGGAAAATTCCAGAAAATAATGTCATGGCTTTAGAAGATTCTGATAGGCTAATTGACATCATTTGAGTCAATTGGAGGTGTACCTGTGGATGTATTTCAAGGCCTACCTTCAAACTCAGTGCCTCTTTGCTTGACATCATGGAAAAATCAAAAGAAATCAGCCAAGACCTCAGAAACAAAATTGTAGACCTCCACAAGTCTGGTTCATCCTTGGGAGCAATTTCCAAATGCCTGAAGGTACCACGTTGATCTGTACAAACAATAGTATGCAAGTATAAACACCATGGGACCACGCAGCCGTTATACCACTCCAGAAGGAGACGCGTTCTGTCTCCTAGAGATGAACGTACTTTGGTGCGAAAAGTGCAAATCAATCCCAGAACAACAGCAAAGGACCTTGTGAAGATGCTGGAGGAAACAGGTCCAAAATTATCTATATCCAAAGTAAAACAAGTCCTATATCGACATAACCTGAAAGACCGCTCAGCAAAGAAGAAGCCACTGCTCCAAAACCACCATAAAAAAGCCAGACTACGGTTTGCAACTGCACATGGGGACAAAGATCGTACTTTTTGGAGAAATGTCCTCTTGTCTGATGAAACTAAAATAGAACTGTTTGGCCATAATGACCATCGTTATGTTTGGAGGAAAAAGGGGGTTGCTTGCAAGCCGAAGAACACCATCCCAACCGTGAAGCACAGGGGTGGCAGCATCATGCTGTGTGGGTGCTTTGCTGCAGGAGGGACTGGTGCACTTCACAAAATAGATGGTATCATGAGGAAGGAAAATGATGTGGATATATTGAAGCAACATCAAGACATCAGTCAGGAAGTTAAAGCTTGGTCGCAAATGGGTCTTCCAAATGGACAATGACCCCAAGCATACTTCCAAAGTTGTGGCAAAATGGCTTAAGGACAACAAAGTCAAGGTATTGGAGTGGCCATCACAAAGCCTTGACCTCAATCCTATAGAACATTTGTGGGCAGAACTGAAAGAGTGTGTGCGAGCAAGGAGGCCTACAAACCTGACTCAGTTACACCAGCTCTGTCTGGAGGAATGGGCCAAAATTCACCCAACTTATTGTGGGAAGCTTGTGGAAGGCTACCCAAAACGTTTGACCCAAGTTAAACAATTTTAAAAGGCAATGCTACCAAATACTAATTGAGTGTATGTAAACTTCTGACCCTCTGGGAATGTGATGAAAGAAATAAAAGCTTAAATAAATAATTCTCTACTACTATTCTGACATTTCACATTCTTAAAGTAAAGTGGTGATCGTAACTGACCTAAGACATGGAATTTTTACTAGGATTAAATGTCAGGAATTGTGAAAAACTGAGTTTAAATGTATTTGGCTAAGGTGTATGTAAACTTCCGACTTCAACTGTAGCTGGCAGAAACAAAATCTTCACTAAATAAAATGTCACAGACTTTCAAGCAATTAATTTGACATTATATACTGTCTGGGATAGACACATGACATTTTAACAGCTAGAGTTGGTTTTAAGTTGAAGCGATAAATGTGTTGTTGAGGCCAGGACAAGCAAAATTAGGGACTAGTCTCATCTTTCCTTAAAAAACACAAATAAGCTATGAAAACCTGAATTGAATATATGGAAAACAAACACTTCATGCCGAATGTAATTGATACAGTGATTGTGACAACAGATAAATATAAAAACAAGGGAAGCAGTCATCCTGAAATGTGTACAGCTTCAACTCCTGTAAATTACCAACAGTTACTTTTAATATGTACTAATATCCTAACCTTGTACTTAGTTTGACTTTTAAATCTGGCATAAACTATGTAAATGGCATTGCTTGATAAAACACCAGTTAAACCTGTCTCATATAGACACATCCCACAATCGTGTTATTGGGTATTTTCCAGGTTAAATTACAGTAATCAAAATAACTTTAAAAAAAGGAAAATGCAACCGATAAGTGCTCATTGAAAATCCCACGGAGTGATCAAAATGTGTCAAAAACAATCGTTCAGATGTGTCAAATTGCCAATATGGTTTTGCACTCCATCTACTGTATGTCTATGGCTAACTCAGCACAACATTGTACACTGAGATATATTAGAACCGATTCCTGCTACATTAGGACCGCACAATCATGGTCTCAGTGTGAATAAGAAATAAGAACTATTGCTTGTGTCAAAGAGGTTGAGGCAGCAGCGCTGGGCCTCCGTCCAGTCTGTTCAGATAGTACCGGTTCATCAAATCTGACACCAACAGGCTGATTGAACAGCTTCCATCCCCAAGCAATACGACTGATAAATAGCTAACAAAATAGCTACACGAACTGAGTTTACCTTGTATCTATATTGACCTGTAATTTCAATATTTGCACTCTCAATGCACACTCACAGGGCCTACACACTCACTCCATAATTTTCTCACTCACAGATAATATGCACATACATTTATACTGACTCTACACACCCGCACACCCACAAGCTGCTGCTACTCTGTTAATCTTATATCCTGATGCCTAGTCCCCTAACCCCTATACAAATCGACCTCCATCCCTCCAGTATCCCTGCACATGTAAATATGGTATTGGATCAGACTTTTAAAAATATTTCCTGTATATAGTATGCTTACTTAATTGTGTACTTCATATTTCCTATTCTTGTTTTTTTCTAGTAGTACATTGTTATTGATTATTGCATTGAGGGGTTTTGAGTTTGCAAGAAAGGCATTTCACTGTACTTGTGCATGTGACATTAAAACTTGAAAATGTTCCAGAATGTTCTGCTTTCGCCGACAGTTATACTTAAAGGGTAAGACAATTAGTGAAAACCAGAAACCAAGGACTAAGGGCCAAGTGCCTACACAGCACTGTATGTTTGCAGAGCTGATACAACAGAAGCTAGCAGAGCTGATACAGAACCGGTTCAACTAGATCTGATCCTAACCATGACAACAGAGAAGAGACTGATCAGAAAATCAGTTGTTGTGGGAGCAAAGAGTTCACATTGCTGTGTATCTGACACGGTTTTGAACTTGAATTGTGACATTCAATTTTATAAGTGCCAAACACTATAGGTAAATCAACTCCACACAACTGTCAATATGTAGGACTTGGCATTGAAGACATAACATGAAGTGACATAGGTAGGTAACAACTGAGTCCCAACAGACAAGAATGACTTCAGCTAATTACAGATGCAGAGCTAGGGACATGTTTACGAGATGCAAGATCACTCCTTCTTGAGCCGGAAGCCCTTCAAAGGCAACAACACCTGCTATAAACCACCATGTAATACTATTGCTGTATCTTGGTGTTCCATTTTCGTCTGGTTCCTTTCTATCTATGCAGTGGCTGCAAACTTCCACAAAGCTTCTCGCTCAAACTCCTCCATCGCCTCCTCCAGGGCTTCATCATCCTGCCCATCAACCTCCAAAATGTCTGCCATGTCCTCTAAAATGTCCGCCACATCTTCAGCGAAGTCACTGAAGAGAACTTTGTCATGGACGAACACACCGTCTTGAAAAAACATGTCGACCAACTTCTGGATCTCGGCCTTGCTGTCCGGAGTAGCCCTCTCCAGCTTGCTCAGGTAGCCGTCTAACAACTCCTCGAATTCAGACAGTTCAACAGGAAAGAGCCCTTCCTGGCTAGCGCAGTCCTCCACACCGCTACAGCCCGCCAGGGAGCGAACGTTGCGTCCAAGTTTCTCCTCCTGGTGCTTCCAGAAGCTGGTGTGGTCATACTGATGGGGCTGGTGGTGGTGATGTTGCTGCTGATGGTTGGAGTGATGGTTGGAGTCTTTCTTGTAGTCTTTCCTGGACTGCCAGGGCCTCTCCTGCTTTCTTTTATCCCTGTCCATCCTGCGCTCGTTCTTCTTTCTCTCCCACTCATCCTGGGATTTCCTCCAGGCCTCTTTATGAGAGTTTTGTTTGTTTGCCTTCCAGTCCCTCTCCTTCCTCTTGTCTTTCTCTTTCCATCCGCCCTCATTCTTGTCTTTGCCGTGTTTCCAGTCCTTCTCTCCCTTCCACTCCTTTTTCCAGTGGTCTTTGCCGTTGTCCTTGGCTTTCTTCTCGTCCCTCTTGTTCCCGCTCTCCCTTGGCTTCTTCTTGCCCTCAATCCTGTTCCCCATCTTCTCCACCTGCTCACTGAGTCTCTTCTGGATCTCAGCCAGGTTCTCCCTCACCATCTTCTGGTACCCTCCATCCTTCTTATACCCCCCATCCTTCTTCATCCCCTCCAGTCTCTTCCTGCTTTCCTCCAACAGCACCTTCTGCCTCTGAAGCTCTTCCTTCACCCTGGCCCCCTCTCTCGGATCCCTCCTCCTTTTGGGCTCTGCTGTGGTGCTACTCTGGCTGCTAATCCCAGGTTGGCCAGTAGGGGGTGGAGTTGGGCTTGAGGGTGGTGGGGGTGTTTCCTGGTTGGCTGAGGTAGACATATCAGAACAAATCAGTGAGTTACAGCATTCAGCTACCAAACCAGAGAATTATGTTACATACATGTTGAAGAAGAGATTCACAACAGTATTTAAACCTCCACTGAACCATACAGTTCACTTTGATCAGGGTTGGGGTAAATTCAAATTGAAGGCAGTCAATTTAGGAATTGATTTAATAAAATAATAGAACAACTTTTGAAATAAATAGCTTCTAGTTTACAGTTCATTGAGAAGTAGTTTACTTCCTGAATGAGCTGCCTTATTCGAATTAACCGAAATACTGACTTCTATTTATACATTATCAAACAAATGATGGATATTATCAATGGAAGAAAGACTAATGAAAATACTGTACCTTCTGTGAGTTGGGACAGTTCGGTCACTCTAGCCCTCAGCGTCTCCAGCTCCTCCTTCAGGCCAGGAAGGGATGACAGCTCTTCTTTCATCTTAGTATTTTCTTGCTCCAGATCTCCTTTTCTGTTGTCATTACCCGTTGCTGATCCTGCATTTAGTGCTGAGTCAAGTTCCTCTTTATGGGCCTGTAACAGAGAGGGGAAAACGTTGCTTTATTCTTAGGAAGGTAGGACATAATAATAAAGATTGTAAAAATATTTCTTAAATGTAAAATAATTAGGCCGTGGCTGCAGATCCAACTTTTTCGGGATCTTTTAGTCCAAAGATCCTGAGCTTTCCGAAGCATCAGCGCATGTGTGCATCACGTTCTGCGCCTGTGTAGATTCTCTACTTTACGCACAGAGAACAAGCTACTCAGGCGAATGGTGCTTGTTTAATAAAGTTAGATCAAAACTGAATCAATGTCAGCAAGACCACAATGATCACAGTATTCAAGGGTGAGAAAGGATTAGCGCTTCGGCGAGTGAGTGAGAATTAGCTATCATAAAAGCTAACTGCATTTCTTATTTTTCTACAGACCTACAGTCATCCAGATCAGGGAACAAACCTGTTGGTACAGCACATCTTAGTCATAGAGCCTCAAAGTCTTTGTATCGGCACTACAGGCGCATAGGCACTTGACTAAAGAGTTTATTTCCAATATAAAAACACTGAAGGCATTGCAGTCTGTATTGCATTCATGATCTTGAATGGTCATTTGTCAGCTCTCTCAACTGGTCTCATCTCAGTTTTCAAATCATTAACACATTTACAGTTGTGTTACACCTCAAGTCCTCTGCGCTGCAGGACGAAACAGAACTCCCTGCTGCAATGACGTCTGCAGATGATTACTAGATACAGAGCCTGTAGAAAGTCTACACCAAATGTAACTTTTGAAAAATGTTGTTGCATTACGAAGTGAGACTGAAATAGATTTAATTGTAATTTTGTCAAGTTCCTCTTTGTGGGCCTGTAACAGAGAGGGGAAAACCTTGCTTTATTCTTAGGAAGGTAGGACAATAATAAATAAGGATAAGGAAAATATTTCTTGAATGTAAAATTGTTAGGCTGTGGCTGTGGATACGACTTCTTCGTGATCTTTTAGTCCTAAGATCAGGAGCTTCCTGGAGCTTCCCAAAGCCTCCACGTATGTATGGATCACGTTCATATTCTCTATTTTACGCGCAGAGAACAGGCTACTCAGGCGAATGGTGCTCGTTTAATAAAGTTAGATCAAAACTGAATCAATGTGTGCAAGAGCACATAATGATCACAGCATTCTACAAAACAGAACCAAATATAATAGTAATGATTCATTCTGTTATGTGGAATACTGATCATTATCACATTTTAGTCATTTAGCAGACGCTCTTATCCAGAGCGACTTACAGTTAGTGAGTGCATACATTTTTCATAGTTTGATATTGCAAACATTGATTCAGCTTTGATCCAACTTTATTAAATGAGCACCATTCGCCTGAGTAGCCTGTTCTCTGCCCGTAAAGTAGAGAATATACACATGCACATAACATGATCCGCATACGAGCAGAAGCTTCGGGAAGCTCAGGATCTTCTAGTCCAGCGGACTGAAGATCCCGAAAAAGTCAGATCCACAGCCACTCCTAAATAATTATATGGTTCATGGGCTCACCTGGAGTTGTGTTTCTAACTGGGAGATTTGCTGATTTTCTTGTGTCAGTTTATCCAAAAGCTCCTTCATCTCCTGAGGATCATTTAGCCAGTCCTGTCCAGCAGAATACAAATCACAGACAATCCACAACACAGCATTATATATACAGAACCAGTCAAAAGTTTGGACACATGTACTCATTCAAGAGTTTTTCTTTACTTTTACATTGTAGAATAATAGTGAAGACATCAAAACTATGAAATAACACATATGGAATCATGTAGTAACCAAACATTTTTAAAGAAATCAAAATATATTTTATATTTGAGATTCTTCAAAGTAGCCACCCTTTGCCTTGAAGACAGCTTTGATGAAAGTTTGGGGTCACTTAAAAATGTCCTTGTTTTTCGAAAGAAAAGCAATTTTCTTGTCCATTAAAATAATATCAAATTGATCAGAAATACAGTGTAGACATTGTTAATGTTGTAAATGGCTATTGTAGCTGGAAATGGCTGATTTTTAATGGAATATCTACATAGGCGTACAGAGGCCCATTATCAGCAACCATCAGTCCTGTGTTCCAATGGCACGTTGTGTTTGCTAATCCAAGTTCATCATTTTAAAAGGCTAATTGATCATTAGAAAATGCAATTATGTTTGCACAGCTGAAAACTGTTGTGCTGATTAAAGAAGCAATAAAACTGGCCTTCTTGAGCCTAGTTGAGTATCTGGAGCATCAGCAATTGTGGGATCGATTACAGGCTCAAAATGGCCAGAAACAAATAACTTTCTTCTGAAACTCGTCAAATGAAAATATGCTGGAGGAGTGCTTGATGCCATCAGTCAAGCATGGTGGAGGCAATGTGATGGTCTGGGGGTGCTTTGGTGGTGGTAAAGTGAGAGATTTGTACAGGGTAAAATGGATCTTGAAGAAGGAAGGCTATCACTCCATTTTGCAACGCCATGCCATACCCTGTGGACGGCGCTTGATTGGAGCCAATTTCCTCCTACAACAGGACAATGACCCAAAGCACAGTTCAAACTATGCATCACTATTTAGGGAATGAGCAGTCAGCTATATTCTGTCTATAAATGGGCGCGGCAGGTAGCTTCGTGGTTTAAGAGCGTTGTGCCAGTAACCGAAGGTTCCTGGTTTCAATCCCGAGCCGACTAGTGAAAAATCTGTCGATGTCCCTTTAGCAAGCACGTAACACTATTGGCTCCTGTAAGTCGCTTCTGGATAAGAGCGTCTGCTAATGACAAAAGTAATGTACATTTATATTGGAGTGGCCGCAACAGTCTCGGATCTCAACCCTATTGAGGCGGTTGTGGGAGCAAGCGTGAGACCGTATGGTACGTCAAGAAGTGCCCATCAAGCCAATTCCCAACTTTGCGGGAGGGTGCTTCAGGAAGCATGGGGTGAAATCTCTTCAGATTACCTCAACAAATTGACAACTAGAATGCCAAAAGGTATGCAAGGCTGTAATTGCTACAAATGGAGGATTCTTTGACGAAAGCAAAGTTGGAAGGACACAATTATTATTTCAATTAAAAATCATTATTTCTAACCTTGTCAATGCCACATTTCCTATTCATTTTGCTATATTTCCTATTCAAACTAATTTCATGTATGTTTTCATGGAAAACAAGGACATTTCTAAGTGACCACAAACTTTTGAACGGTAGTGTACAGTCGTGGTCAAAGGTTTTGAGAATGACACAAATATTAATTTTCACAAAGTCTGCTGCCTCAGTTTTTATGATGGCAATTTGCATATACTCCAGAATGTTATGAAGAGTGATCAGATGAATTGCAATTAATTGCAAAGTGTGCTCCTAATCTCAGCTCGTTCCCTGTATAAAAGACACCTGGGAGCCAGAAATCTTTCTGATTGAGAGGGGGTCAAATACTTATTTCCCACATTAAAATGCAAATCAATTTATAACATTTTTGACATGCGTTTTTCTGGATTTTTGTTGTTGTTATTCTGTCTCTCACTGTTCAAATAAACCTACCATTAAAATTATAGACTGATCATTTCTTTGTCAGTGGGCAAACGTACAAAATCAGCAGGGGATCAAATACTTTTTTCCCCCTCACTGTACCTGCAAGGAAACACGTGCCGTCATCATTGCTTTGCACAAAAAGGGCTTCACAGGCAAGGATATTGCTGCTAGTAAGATTGCACCTAAATCAACCATTTATCGGATCATTAAGAACTTCAAAGAGAGAGGTTCAATTGTTGTGAAGGCTAAGGTGTATGTAAACTTCCGACTTCAACTGTAAACATTGCAAAGCAAACATTTTGTGCATATCTTATAAAACATTTGTCTAACAAGGAAGATGTCAATTACTGATTAAAGGGTCAATCGGCCATTGGTACATCCATTTTTTGACTTTTAAAGTAATTATATACACCCATCGATTATTAAAAATATAATTTATAAAATGCCTCATGAGCTTAGTTCAACTGTCGTACCCCAACAGAACCCAAAATATAAGCTTGTTACACTCGGTTTGAAAGCAATGTAAATTGTAAACACTGTACAGCCTCAAAAAATTGTTCAAATTATCATTTGGATCTCATGGATAGTCAGTCCTTGCGTCCATAGCTCTGTGTATGAATTTGAGACTTACATTCCTCCAGCCCCATCCCTCAACTGTTTACCAAAACCATGGCGGAGCGAGCGCTTTGTTGTTTTAAAAGCAGATTGCCCCATTAATATCATTCCATTACACATTTTTCTCTAAGTTCGTCCAGTTCCTTTAACTTTCATCCCAATAAAACATTGTTGAAAGTGACGATGACCGAGAAGGTAGGATAGAGCAACAGACCTGGTTTTGTTCTGTCCCGCTCAGCTCATCTGAGTCATCTGTCAAAAAAGAAAACAATACATCAAACCACATTTTCCAAACATATTTAACATATATTAAACACACCTGCATATATTTTATCATCCAAAATGCAAAGCCAATTTTGAACTACTCCACGAGAGCATAAAATTGTTGGGAAGTTATTTGGTCAATGGCACAGTCTCTGACCATTCGCATGCCTGACCATTCGCATGCCTGACCAAACATCAAAACAATTTTTATTTGTCACATGCACCAAATACAACAGGTGTAGACCTTACGGTGAAATGCTTACTTTCAAGACCTTAACCAACAATGCAGTTAAGAAAATATGAATTAAATAAACTAAAGTAAAAACATGAAAGAGCAACAATAAAATAACGAGGCTATATACAGGGGGTACCAGTACCGAAACAATGTGCGGGGGTACAGGTTAGTCGAGGTAATATGTACAGTTGAAGTCGGAAGTTTACATACACCTTAGCCAAATACATTTAAACTCAGTTTTACACAATTCCTGACATTTAATCCTTGTAAATACTCCCTGTCTTAGGTCAGTTAGGATCACCACTTTATTTTAAGAATGTGAAAAGTCAGAATAATAGTAGAGAGAATGATTTATTACAGCTTTTATTTAGTTAATCACATTCCCAGTGGGTCAGAAGTTTACATACACTCAATTAGTATTTGGTAGCATTGCCTTTAAATTGTTTAACTTTGGTAAAACGTGTTGGGTAGCCTTCCACAAGCTTCCCACAATAAGTTGGGTGAATTTTGGCCCATTCCTCCTGACAGAGCTGGTGTAACTGAGTCAGGTTTGTAGGCCTTCTTGCTCACACACGCTTTTTCAGTTCTGCCCACACATTTTCTATAGGATTGAGGTCAGGGCTTTGTGATGGCCACTCCAATACCTTGACTGTTGTCCTTAAGCCATTTTGCCACAACTTTGGAAGTATGCTTGGGGTCATTGTCCATTTGGAAGACCCATTTGCGACCAAGCTTTAACTTCCTGACTGATGTCTTGAGATGTTGCTTCAATATATCCACATAAATTTCCTTCCTCATAATGCCATCTATTTTGTGAAGTGCACCAGTCCCTCCTGCAGCAAAGCACCCCCACAGCATGATGCTGCCACCCCCGTGCTTCACAGTTGGGATGGTGTTCTTCGGCTTGCAAGCAACCCCGTTTTACTCCAAACATAATGATGGTCATTATGGCCAAACAGTTATATTTTAGTTTCATCAGACCAGAGGACATTTCTCCAAAAAGTACGATCTTTGTCCCCATGTGCAGTTGCAAACCATAGTCTGGCTTTTTTATGGCGGTTTTGGAGCAGTGGCTTCTTCCTTGCTGAGCGGCCTTTCAGGTTATGTCGATATAGGACTTGTTTTACTTTGGATATAGATACTTTTGGACCTGTTTCCTCCAGCATCTTCACAAGGTCCTTTGCTGTTGTTCTGGGATTGATTTGCACTTTTCGCACCAAAGTACGTTCATCTCTAGGAGACAGAACGCGTCTCCTTCGATGTAGGACTTGTTTTACTGTGGATATACAGTGGGGAGAAAAAGTATTTAGTCAGCCACCAATTGTGCAAGTTCTCCCACTTAAAAAGATGAGAGAGGCCTGTAATTTTCATCATAGGTACACGTCAACTATAACAGACAAAATGAGAAAAAAAATCCAGAAAATCACATTGTAGGATTTTTAATGAATTTATTAGCTAATTATGGTGGAAAATAAGTATTTGGCCAAAAACAAAAGTTTCTCAATACTTTGTATATACCCTTTGTTGGCAATGACACAAGTCAAATGTTTTCTGTAAGTCTTCACAAGGTTTTCACACACTGTTGCTGGTATTTTGGTCCATTCCTCTAGAGCAGTGATGTTTTGGGGCTGTCGCTGGGCAACACGGACTTTCAACTCCCCCCAAAGATTTTCTATGGGGTTGAGATCTGGAGACTGGCTAGGCCACTCCAGGACCTTGAAATGCTTCTTACGAAGCCACTCCTTCGTTGCCCGGGCGGTGTGTTTGGGATCATTGTCATGCTGAAAGACCCAGCCACATTTCATCTTCAATGCCCTTGCTGATGGAAGGAGGTTTTCACTCAAAATCTCACGATACATGGCCCCATTCATTCTTTCCTTTACACAGATCAGTCATGCTGGTCCCTTTGCAGAAAAACAGCCCCAAAGCATGATGTTTCCACCCCCATGCTTCACAGTAGGTATGGTGTTCTTTGGATGCAACTCAGTATTCTTTGTCCTCCAAACACGACGAGTTGAGTTTTACCAAAAAGTTCAATTTTGGTTTCATCTGACCATATGACATTCTCCCAATCCTCTTCTGGATCATCCAAATGCACTCTAGCAAACTTCAGACGGGCCTGGACATGTACTGGCTTAAGCAGGGGGACACGTCTGGCACTGCAGGATTTGAGTCACTGGCGGCGTAGTGTGTTACTGATGGTAGGCTTTGTTACTTTGGTCCCAGCTCTCGCAGGTCATTCACTAGGTCCCCCTGTGTGTTTCTGGGATTTTTGCTCACTGTTCTTGTGATCATTTTGACCCCACGGGTGAGATCTTGCGTGGAGCCCCATATCGAGGGAGATTATCAGTGGTCTTGTATGTCTTCCATTTCCTAATAATTGCTCCCACAGTAGATTTCTTCAAACCAAGCTGCTTACCTATTGCAGATTCAGTCTTCCCAGCCTGGTGCAGGTCTACAATTTTGTTTCTGGTGTCCTTTGACAGCTCTTTGGTCTTGGCCATAGTGGAGTTTGGAGTGTGACTGTTTGAGGTTGTGGACAGGTGTCTTTATACTGATAACAAGTTCAAACAGGTGCCATTAATACAGGTAATGAGTGGAGGACAGAGGAGCCTCTTAAAGAAGAAGTTACTGGTCTGTGAGATTGCAGAAATCTTGCTTGTTTGTAGGTGACCAAATACTTATTTTCCACCATAATTTGCAAATAAATTCTTTAAAAATCCTACAATGTGATTTTCAGGATAATTTTTTTCTCAATTTGTCTGTCATAGTTGACGTTTACCTATGATGAAAATTACAGGCCTCTCATCTTTTTAAGTGGGAGAACTTGCACAATTGGTGGCTGACTAAATACTTTTTTTCCCAACTGTAGATACTTTTGTACCCGTTTCCTCCAGCATCTTCACAAGGTCCTTTGCTGTTGTTCTGGGATTGAGTTGCACTTTTCGCACCAAAGTACAGTGGGGAAAAAAAGTATTTAGTCAGCCACCAATTGTGCAAGTTCTCCCACTTAAAAAGATGAGAGTACACGTCAACTATGACAGACAAATTGAGAAAAAAAAATCCAGAAAATCACATTGTAGGATTTTTTATGAATTTATTTGCAAATTATGGTGGAAAATAAGTATTTGGTCACCTACAAACAAGCAAGATCTTTTTAATTGGGGGAACTTGCACAATTGGTGGCTGACTAAAAACTTTTTTTCCCCACTGTACATACATACATACATACATACATACTACCGTTCAGAAGTTTGGGGTCACTTAGAAATGTCCTTGTTTTTGAAAGAAAAGCAATTTTTTGTCCCTTTCAAAATAACATCAAATTGATCAGAAATACAGTGTAGACATTGTTAATGTAAATGGCTATTGTAACTAGAAATGGCTGATTTTGTAAATGGAATATCTACATAGGCGTACAGAGGGCCATTGTCAACAACCATCAGTCCTGTGTTCCAATGGCACGTTGTGTTTGCTAATCCAAGTATATCATTTTTAAAGGCAAATTGATCATTAGAAAACCATTTTGCAATTATGTTAGCACAGCTGAAAACTGTTGTGCTGATTTAAAGAAGCAATAAAACTGGCCTTCTTGAGACTAGTTGAGTATCTGGAGCATCAGCAATTGTGGGTCCGATTACAGGCTCAAAATGGCCAGAAACAAATAACTTTCTTCTGAAACTCATCAGTCTATTCTTGTTCTGAGAAATGAAGGCTATTTATGTGAGAAATTGCCAAGAAACTGAAGATCTCGTACAACGCTGTGTACTACTCCCTTCACAGAACAGCGCACTGTCTCTAACCAGAATAGAAAGAGGAGTGGGAGGCCCCGGTGTGAGAGGACAAATGCATTAGTGTCTAGTTTGAGAAACAGACGGCTCACAGGCCCTCAACTGGCAGCTTCATTAAATAGTACCCGCAAAACACCAGTCTCAACATCAACAGTGAAGAGGCGACACCCTGGGATGCTGACCTTCTAGGCAGAGTTGCAAAGAAAAAGCCATATCTCAGACTGTCAATCTTAATCTTTTATTTTTATTGGCCAGTTTGAGATATTGCTTTTTCTTTGCCTAGAAGGTCAGCATCCCGGAGTCGCCTCTTCACTGTGTGTATATATATACAGTGGGGAAGAAAAGTATTTAGTCAGCCACCAATTGTGCAAGTTCTCCCACTTAAAAAAGATGAGAGAGGCCTGTAATTTTCATCATAGGTACACGTCAACTATGACAGACAAATTGAGATTTTTTTTACAGAAAATCACATTGTAGGATTTTTAATGAATTTATTTGCAAATTATGGTGGAAAATAAGTATTTGGTCACCTACAAACAAGCAAGATTTCTGGCTCTCACAGACCTGTAACTTCTTCTTTAAGAGGCTCCTCTGTCCTCCACTCGTTACCAGTATTAATGGCACCTGTTTGAACTTGTTATCAGTATAAAAGACACCTGTACACAACCTCAAACAGTCACACTCCAAACTCCACTATGGCCAAGACCAAAGAGCTGTCAAAGGACACCAGAAACAAAATTGTAGACCTGCACCAGGCTGGGAAGACTGAATCTGCAATAGGTAAGCAGCTTGGTTTGAAGAAATCAACTGTGGGAGCAATTATTAGGAAATGGAAGACATACAAGACCACTGATAATCTCCCTCGATCTGGGGCTCCACGCAGATCTCACCCCGTGGGGTCAAAATGATCACAAGAACGGTGAGCAAAAATCCCAGAACCACACAGGGGGACCTAGTGAATGACCTGCAGAGAGCTGGGACCAAAGTAACAAAGCCTACCATCAGTAACACACTACGCCGCCAGTGACTCAAATCCTGCAGTGCCAGACGTGTCCCCCTGCTTAAGCCAGTACATGTCCAGGCCCGTCTAAAGTTTGCTAGAGTGCATTTGGATGATCCAGAAGAGGATTTGGAGAATGTCATATGGTCAGATGAAACCAAAATATAACTTTATGTTAAAAACTCAACTCGTCGTGTTTGGAGGACAAAGAATGCTGAGTTGCATCCAAAGAACACCATACCTACTGTGAAGCATGGGGGTGGAAACATCATGCTTTGGGGCTGTTTTTCTGCAAAGGGACCAGGATGACTGATCCGTGTAAAGGAAAGAATGAATGGGGCCATGTATCGTGAGATTTTGAGTGAAAACCTCCTTCCATCAGCAAGGGCATTGAAGATGAAACGTGGCTGGGTCTTTCAGCATGACAATGATCCCAAACACACTGCCCGGGCAACGAAGGAGTGGCTTCGTAAGAAGCATTTCAAGGTCCTGGAGTGGCCTAGCCAGTCTTCAGATCAACCCCATAGAAAATCTTTGGAGGGAGTTGAAAGTCTGTGTTGCCCAGCGACAGCCCCAAAACATCACTGCTCTAGAGGAGATCTGCATGGAGGAATGGGCCAAAATACCAGCAACAGTGTGTGAAAACCTTGTGAAGACTTACAGAAAACGTTTGACCTGTGTCATTGCCAACAAAGGGTATATAACAAAGTATTGAGAAACTTTTGTTATTGACCAAATACTTATTTTCCACCATAATTTGCAAATAAATTCATAAAAAATCCTACAATGTGATTTTCTGGAGAAAAAAATTCTAATTTTGTCTGTCATAGTTGACGTGTACCTATGATGAAAATTACAGGCCTCTCATCTTTTTTTCCCCCCCACTGTATGTAGCAGGGTCTATAGACAATCACGGATTACAAAGGGAAAACCATCAACGTCTCGGACACCGACGTCTTGCTCCCGGACAAGCTAAACACCTTCTTCGCCCACTTTGAGGATAACACAGTGCCACTGACACGGCCCGCTCCCAAGGACTGTGGGCTCTTGTGGCCGATGTGAGTAAGACATAAGCGTGTTAACCCTCGCAATGCTGCCGGCCCAGACGGCATCCCTAGCTGCGTCCTCAGAGCATGCGCAGACCAGCTGGCTGGAATGTTTACGGACATATTCAATCTCTCCCTATCCCAATCTGCTGTCCCCACTTGCTTCAAGATGTCCATCATTGTTCCTGTATCCAAGAAAGCAAAGGTAACTGAACTAAATGACTTTCGCCCTGTAGCACTCACTTCTCATCATGAAGTGCTTTGAGAGGCTAGTTAAGGATCATATCACCTCCACCTTACCTGACACCCTAGACCCACTCCTGTACCCCCTGTTCACCCATGCCTGCGTGGTTTTTGCTGCTCTGACATGTACTGTCAACTGTGGGACCTTATATAGACAGGTGTGTGCCTTTCCAAATCATGTCCAATCAATTGAATTTACCACAGGTGGACTCCAATCAAGTTGTAGAAACATCTCAAGGATGATCAATGGAAACAGGATGCACCTGAGCTCGATTTCGAGTCTCATAGCAAAGGGTCTGAATACTTATGTAAATAAGGTATTTCTTTTCTTATTTTGTTTTGGCAAACATTTCTAAAAATCTGTTTTCGCTTTGTCATTATGGGTTATTGTGTGTAGATTGAGGGAAAAATTCATTTAATCCATTTCAGAATAAGGCTGTAACTTAACAAAATGTGGAAAAAGTCAAGGGGTCTGAATACTTTCCGAATTCACTGTATATACAGCTATAGTTATATAGATTTTATCATAAGAATGAAAATGAGGCATTGTTGAGCCAGTGTGCATTACAAACTGTCCAAAATTACACTAGCAAAACCTAGTTCAGGCTGAACTCACCGGAGAGGAAGAGGGACCCTAGACAGAGCAGGACCAGGGCACCCACAATGCATGTGCTCATAGAGAAGCCCTTCTCCTCTTTCCTCTCTGTCATTTTTAACTCCACCTCCTCATCTTCCGATGTCATTTTTGGTGCCACATCTCTCCTCCTCAGACCACCTCCTTCCTCAGAACTCGTGTCAGCTATTCCAAAGTCAAAGCTACTGGGAGATTCTAGCAGAGGAACAGAGAAGAGTAGAAAGAGCGATGATAAGCAGAGAGAAATAAAATCATGCACTAAAGCTATTGAAACTTTTATGCAAAAGTATTAGATGGTAGAATGCTCTGAATGTAGATTTATCTTGTATGTAATTCTAACGCAAATTTTGTTTTTGTAACGGTTTGTTGAGTTGGGGTGTGTTAACATGGGTGTTAACACTAGAACCGCCATAGTCCAACGGCCACTGACGTTTGAATTTGGATGAGCTGGAGTCGGATGGAGGATTGGATATTGAGCCCAAAATTTACTATGGCGATGACAATTTGGGGTCTTCATCTGATGTTGACTCTCTTTCACATTTCTGTTTTACATTATTTATCAAACGTTGGTGCTTATGTTTATGGTAAATTATTTGTCTGGATTGGATTCTATTACCTACTATTACTCATTGAGTTTACAAATAAAATGGCTAAAATGTATTCGATTGTAGTGTCTTTATTGCAAGAAAAATGAAAAAGTGGCTTTGTAGAATAATACATTTTACATTTAAATTTTAGTCATTTAGCAGACACTCTTATCCAGAGCGACTTACAGTTAGTGAGTGCATACATTTTTCATATGCATTTTTCAATACAAAACATAGTACGTGCATTTTATGTACTTCAAAATATACAATTTACAAATATTCAAAATAAACTAAATATTCTTAAGACATGATTACATTCAATCAATCAAATTATTATTATTATTATTATTATTTTGTAAGATGGTATTTATTTAGGTTGATTACAACACAGTAGGTGAATCTGATGCGTAGGCTAAAGGGGATGCCAGACAACATTCTCTAGCAGGTACTTGTAGGCTGAGAATCCCAGTTGTTCTAGTGTTAATTGTATGTCATCTCACAAAATGTTTACTGACTTCCAACCTAGTGCACAAATCCATACCTTCTTCCTTTGGTATATCAGTCACTTTTTCAGGCAATTCTGTCTCCTCCTTTTCTAGTGCTGGCTCTTCTGCTGCCTCCACTGAACCCATGGTCTCTGGAGGGGGACTATCAGGAGCTGGGCTTTCTGGAGCAGCATGGGGTTCTGGGGCTGGTCTTAGAGGCCCCTCGGAGCTCTCTGGGAGGGGGCCAATATTAGTGACAGTGTCAGATGGGGGGCCCGTTGGGATGAGAGTCTCTGTGTGAACGCTCATGTCAGGTTCGGCACTAGTTTCTAGGGCAAGACTCTTAGGTACAGGGCCTGTATCAGTGCAGGTATCAAGGGTGGAGTTCTCAGGGACAGGGCTTAACTCAGGCTCAACCTCTGAGGGGGGTGGTTCCGTGAAGGGAGCATTCAGTGGCACAACCAGGTTGACATGAGTGACAAAGGGCATGGCAGCGAGTTGCTCATTGTCAGTGGGGGAGCTGGTTACCATATCATGGATTATGGGGGGTTCAGGTTGACTCGCCAGGTCAGGGTCAAGGGGCGCATGGCTAGATGGGGATGGGCTTAACAGGGTAGGGCTGGAGGGGACAGGGCCCTCGCAGGTATCAAGAGCAGTTTCCTGGCAAATCTGGGAATCAGAAGAGAATAAAAGCACAAACTTGAATAGTAAATTGGTAATAATGAGTTATAACCATAGACATAATTTGCCATACACTACAGTTCAAAAGTTTAGGGTCACTTAGAAATGTCCTTGTTTTCAAAAGAAAAGCAATTTTTCCATTAAAATAAATCTAATTGATCAGACATTTCTAATGTTGTAAATGGCTATTGTAGCTGGAAACGGCTGATTTTTAATGGAATATCTACATAGGCGTGCAGAGGCCCATTATCAGCAACCATCAGTCCTGTGTTCCAATGGCACGTTGAGTTTGCTAATCCAAGTTCATCATTTTAAAAGGCTAATTGATCGTTAGAAAACATTTTTGCAATTATGTTTGCACAGCTGAAAACGGTTGTGCTGAATAAAGCAGCAATAAAAATGGCCTTCTTGAGTCCTCAACTGGCAGCTTCATTAAATAGTACCCGCAAAACACCAGTCTCAACGTCAACATTGAAGAGGCGACTCCGGGATGCTGACCTTCTAGGCAGAGTTGCAAAGAAAAAGCCATATCTCAGACTCCCCATCTTAATCTTTTATTTTTATTGGTCAGTCTGAGATATTACTTTTTCTATGCAACTCTGGACTCTAGAAGGTCAGCATCCCAGAGTCGCCTCTTCAATGTTGATGTTGAGACCGGTGTTTTGCGGGTACTATTTAATGAAGCTGCCAGTTGAGGACCTGTGATGCGTCTGTTTCTCAAACTAGACACTAATGTAATGTATTTGTCCTCTTGCTCAGTTGTGCACCGGGGCCTCCAACTCCTCTTTCTATTCTGGTTAGAGCCAATTTGCGCTGTTCTGTGAAGGTAGTAGTACACAGCGTTGTACGAGATCTTCAGTTTCTTGGCAATTTCTCGCATGGAATAGCCTTCATTTCTCAGAACAAGAATAGACTGACGAGTTTCAGAAGAAAGTTATTTGTTTCTGGCCATTTTGAGCCTGTAATCGAACCCACAATTGCTGATGCTCCAGATACTCAACTAGTCTCAAAAAGGCCAGTTTTATTGCTTCTTTAATCAGCACAACAGTTTTCAGCTGTGCTAACATAATTGCAAAAGGGTTTTCTAATGATCAATTAGTATTTTAAAATGATAAACTTGGATTAGCAAACACAACATGCCATTGGAACACAGGACTGATGGTTGCTGATAATGGGCCTCTGTACGCTTATGTAGATATTCCATAAAAATACAAATAAATTATGCTGTTTCCCGCTACAATAGCCATTTAAAACATTAACAATGTCTACACTGTATTTCTGATCAATTTGATGTTATTTTAAATGGACAAAAAAATTGCTTTTCTTTCAAAAACAAGGACATTTCTAAGTGACCCCAAACATTTGAACGGTAGTGTACAGTGAGGGAAAAAAGTATGATCTCCTGCTGATTTTGTACGTTTGCCCACTGACAAAGAAATGATCAGTCTATAATTTTAATGGTAGGTTTATTTGAACAGAGAGAGACAGAATAACAACAAAAAAATCAAGAAAAACACATGTCAAAAATGTTATAAATTGATTTGCATTTTAAATTAGGGAAATAAGTATTTGACCCCCTCTCAATCAGAAAGATTTCTGGCTCCCAGGTGTCTTTTATACAGGTAATGAGCTGAGATTAGGAGCACACTCTTAAAGGGAGTGCTCCTAATCTCAGCTTGTTACCTGTATAAAAGACACCTGTCCACAGAAGAAATCAATCAGATTCCAAACTCTCCACAATGGTCAAGACCAAAGAGCTCTCCAAGGATGTCAGGGACAAGATTGTAGACCTACACAAGGCTGGAATGGGCTACAAGACCATCGCCAAGTAGCTTGGTGAGAAGGTGACAACAGTTGGTGCGATTATTCGCAAATGGAAGAAACACAAAATAACTGTCAATCTCCCTCGGCCTGGGGCTCCATGCAAGATCTCACCTCGTGGAGTTGCAATGATCATGAGAACGGTGAGGATTCAGCCCAGAACTACACGGGAGGATCTTGTCAATGATCAAGGCAGCTGGGACCATAGTCACCAAGAAAACAATTGGTAACACACTACGCCGTGAAGGACTGATATCCTGCAGCGCCCGCAAGGTCCCCCTGCTCAAGAAAGCACATATACAGGGCCGTCTGAAGTTTGCCAATGAACATCTGAATGATTCAGAGGAGAACTGGGTGAAAGTGTTGTGGTCAGATGAGTCCAAAATCAAGCTCTTTGGCATCAACTCAACTCGCCGTGTTTGGAGGAGGAATGCTGCCTACCATCCCCACCGTCAAACATGGAAGTGGAAACATTATGCTTTGGGGGTGTTTTTCTGCTAAGGGGACAGGACAACTTCACCGCATCAAAGGGACCATGGACAGGGCCATGTACCGTCAAATCTTGGGTGAGAACCATCCTTCCCTCAGCCAGGGCATTGAAAATGGGTCATGGATGGGTATTCCAGCATGACAATGACCCAAAACACACGGCCAAGGCAACAAAGGAGTGGCTCAAGAAGAAGCACATTAAGGTCCTGGAGTGGCCTAGCCAGTCTCCAGACCTTAATCCCATAGAAAATCTGTGGAGGGAGCTGAAGGTTTGAGTTGCCAAAAGTCATTAAGGTTTCGAGGCTGACTTGGAGAAGATCTGCAAAGAGGAGTGGAACAAAATCCCTCCTGAGATGTGTACAAACCTGGTGGCCAACTACAAGAAACGTCTGACCTCTGTGATTGCCAACAAGGGTTTTGCCACCAAGTACTAAGTCATGTTTAGCAGAGGGGTCAAATACTTATTTCCCTCATTAAAATGCAAATTAATTTATAACATATTTGACATGCGTTTTTCTGGATTACTTTGTTGTTATTCTGTCTCACTGTTCAAATAAACCTACCATTAAAATTATAGACTGATCATGTCTTTGTCAGTGGGCAAACGTACAAAATCAGCAGGGGATCAAATACTTTTTTCTCACTGTATAACATAACAAAACAGACATCATTTTGAATTTTGTGTTATGAAAGATTATGCTGTGAGAATGATACCCTCAATAAGCAGTGTGTTCATCAGGGACTCACAGTACAGACCTGTTGGCCCTCCTCTGACAGAACTGTTTCTACTGGAGTCTCTGGGTCACTCATCTTAGACTCCACAGTGGCCCCTGGAACAGCATCAACAAAACATGAATAACATTACATGAATAACAAATTAATTACATCCACCCACACAACTTCATTATGCAACATCCATACATTAGGACACTAACAGAATAGGGAAACAGTATCAGTGTAAGATAGAGCTTAGGTACCTGTGACTTCCTCTGACAGACTAGGGACATCACAAAGACTCTCAGTCCCATCATCCACTGGACCCACGCTCTCAGCAGCTTCCTGAAATGTAGAGGCCATTAGGGTTATTATGATCTCATTATAGAGGGCATAGGGTTCTCATGATCAACTCAACCTATTCACCTCACCATTCATTCATTCACACTGCCACAGACACAAAATGTGGGTAAAGTGGAAATGTAATATAAAACTCACAGCATTGAATACTAATCTGACATCCAATGCTGTGTTTATGTGATCAGCCTATTCTTTTGTTATCACAGTTGGCAAGGTGTTGGCACCAGACCTCGATTTCAAATACTTTGAGCATTTGCTTGAGTCTGCCTGGAGCAGGGTTGCCATATCCGCGGTTCCCCCGCAAATTGGCCTACTTTGAAAAACAATGTTGCGGGTGAAAATGTATTGGTCGCAGGTTGCTGGGCTACTTTCTAAGTTGCACCGCAGCCGCCATGGCATTTCTCTTTAAAGAAAATATATATATTTCACTGTGACCTGGTGCTGCTGACTATCAGGCAGGCTGTTGCTGAGTAAGTGAGTGGTGGGGAGTACTGGAGGGGTGTGTGTGTGTGAGATGGGGGGGGCTGTGTGTGAGAGAGCGCTGCAGCAGGCAGCTGAGTCCACTATTGGCTGAGTCGCGGGAGTGGAGACAGAGCAGCACGCATGCACGTTGTATCAACTTTTTACCAATTGCAGGCCATTTAGGATTGTCATTATTATTTTTACCAACCCTTTTTCCATAAAACATTAACAAGCTAGAACTGATGCGCATCAAGAAATAACAGCGACAAACGACATTGGGCGCATTAGATACATTTACTCAGAGGTGGTTTAAATTCCATTCGAATGTCGACTTTGCTTATGGAAAATCGTATCAAGCGAAATGTTTTACCCATGCTCAGTTCTTGGGTCTCGAGGGCTGGAAATTTGAAATGGAAGGGTGGGGGGGATTGTTACGCAACAGGACAGTTAACATGAGCTGCCTGCTAATTATCTATAGGCTGTTTCAACTTGTCAATTTGTAATTATTTTCTAACAAGATGTATTTTCTACCAACAGTTTGAATTGAGGTGTGTTCCGCCTCATTAATTCACATAGAAGTAGCTCATTTCAGCGTTGCAGACAACTTATGTTTGAGGCTTACTGAGCCGGACAAACTTCTCTCTTCGAGGAGAGCCCAAGCAGATCAAGTATGCAGACATTTGCGCAGTCTTGCACAAATTGGCACATTTTCTGGCTGGCGCTCGCATTGCCTTCCTTGTTGTTTACCTTACAAATAATAAACTTTGGACATGTGTGTGTTCGTATCAAAGTAAGTGCCTTATTTTCTGTAGATCGTGTTGTCGTTTCTACTCTAGCATACAGTAGAATTTGGTATTTTATTAGGATCACCATTAGCTGTTGCAAAAGCAGCAGCTACTCTTCCTGGGGTCCACACAAAACATGGCATAATACAGAACATTAATAGACAAGAACAGCTCAAGGACAGAACTACATAAAAAAATTTTTTAAAGACACACGTAGCCTACATATCAATACATACACACAAACTATCAAGGTATGTATGTATGTACATACGTACGTATGTATGTAGCATAATATATTTACAGTTTTATTCACGTTTTCAAGTACTGGTGATAAATAATGCATTCCGATTATTGCATAGATTGTAATGGATGTGTGCAAAATACTTTTTTGAAGGTTGTACTGATTATAATGAGCTAATGCTAAGCTATTTGCCAGCTGTGTGGCGCCATGTTTGTTGACATTATACAATGCATTCTGGGTGTCACGTAAACATCGGTCAGACCAAAGATGTTAAAATGAGGTGAAGGGTAAACTTCTGGAAGTGAATGAACGTAGACGACACACCTCCTTCAACATGCATACTGCAAACAGACCAGACTCATCTTGTCTCCTCTTATTATCTTTGGTTGACGCGAAATAACAAACATGGTGGCGCGAACAAACTACCCATCGTCGGATTACTTTCGAATTCTAGAAAGTGTTGATATCTTCATTACCCCAAAATGACAAAGCGAAAACAGGTTTAGACATTTTCGCAAATGTATTCAAAATAAAAAAACAGAAATACCTTATTTACATAAGTATTCAGAACTACATACATTTTTTTTTAAAGACACACGTAGCCTACATATCAATACATACACACAAACTATCTAGGTAGGTATGTATGTACATACGTACGTATGTATGTAGCATAATATATTTACAGTTTTATTCACGTTTTCAAGTACTGCTATGAGACTCGAAATTGAGCTCAGGTGCATCCTGTTTCCATTGATCATCCTTGATGTTTCTACAACTTGATTGGAGTCCACCTGTGGTTAATTCAATTTTATTGGACATGATTTGGAAAGGCACACACCTGTCTATATAAGGTCCCACAGTTGACAGCGCATGTAAGAGCAAAGACCAAGCCATGAGGTCGAAGGAATTGTCCGTAGAGCGCCGAGACAGGATCTGGGAAAGGGTACCAAAAAATGTCTGCAGCATTGAATGTCCCCAAGAACACAGTGGCCTCCATCATTCTTAAAAATGGAAGAGGTTTGGAAGCACCAAGACTCTTCCTAGAGCTGGCCACCCGGCCAAACTGAGCAATCGGGGGAGAAGGGCCTTGGTCAGGGAGGTGACAAAGAAACCGATGATCACTCTGACAGAGCTTCAGAGTTCCTCTGTGGAGGTGGGAAAACCTTCCTGAAGGACAACCATCTCTACAGCACTCCACCAATCTGGCTTTGTTTGAGTGGCCAGACGGAAGCCACTCCTCAGTAAAAGGCACATGACAGCCCGCTTGGAGTTTGGTCTCTGGAGAGACCTGAAAATAGCTGTGCAGCGACGCTCTCCATCCAACCTGACAGAGCTTGAGAGGATCTGCAGAGAAGAATGGGAGAAACTCCCCAAATACAGGTATGCCAAGCTTGTAGCATCATACCCAAGAAGACTCGAGGCTGTAATCGCTGCCAAAGGTGCTTCAACAAAGTACTGTGGAAAGGGTCTGAATAATTATGTAAATGTGATATTTCAGTTTTATTTTGAATAAAATGTGCAAATATTCCTAAACCTGTTTTTGCTTTGTCATTATGAGGTATTGTGTGTAGATTGAGGGGGAAAAAAACTATTAAATCAATTTTAGAATAAAATGTGGAAAAAGTGAAGGGATCTGAATACTTTCCGAATGCACTGTAGTTATGCACATGCGCAAAAGGGATTTATTTCTAAAGTCGTTACAAGTTCTGTCAATAGTCTTAATTGGCTCAATAACGTTATGGAAAAGGGGTTTATTGGATAAATGTGGCAACTCCTCTCTTGCAGTGTAAAGAAATGTTGTCCTAGCTCTCAGGCCTTTTGGGTGGATTTTGATTGGTCATTGGGCTAGAAATTTTAGCTAGACCTGGCAAGGAGTGTCAGATGGGCGGGGTTTGCAGTTTTGGGACATTAGTTTTGATTTATTAAGCCAGGCAAGCTAAAACCGGCACAAAGTATTTTTAATAGATTTAAGTATTTGAAACCCTGGTTTGGTTGGTACAGGGTGTATATCTTACCTCTGGGTACAGCATGGTCCAACTGTTGGTCGAGGATCCACTGCGGCTGCTGCCTGTGCTGCTGCTGTTGTCAGACATCGCCCCCTTGATGCTCAGCACAGCAACTACAACTTATTCTGCAGAGGACAGAGATTCACTGACTCATGTAACAAATGTCATTATGAATTACCCAATAACTCGTGGTTTTACAATGTCTGCAGTTTCTACATATAGGCCAATAGGACTGTGGCCTACTTGCACTGTGTTTTCTTATTATGCATTTTAAGAAATTCAATTCATATAGGCCTAAAAGGATCTCAGTAGAGAAAAAATATCACGATACAGTATATTACCACAGTATTGGAAAAGTGCTTTTCAAACCAACATTATATCAGAAATTGTATTACACCACATTGTCACAATTGTTGGCCTACATTGAAGAATCTGACATTAAGAGAACTGTCTGAGAAATAGACTGCATAGTCTACCTTAAAACTCCAGTTGCAATAATTGTAATATGTTGCCGACGCAAAAGCCTATAGGCCCTATAAAGTAAGATGAGTAGCAAAAATGTAGCCTTGGACATTGATAAGTGGCAATCATTGTTAACGAATCGCGATAAGGGGGGTGGCTATTTTAAAAACAGACGGATCCTTATTTGTATGATCTCTTTGCGTATACTTCAGACAAGCCACTATGGGTTTCTTCACCGTACCCACACCAAAAACCGATTTAATGCGTCGCTTAGTTATGTATAGAGGCATGTCATCGTGGAATGGTCTGGCACCAGAGGTTACTCAGGCAAAAAGCAAATGTAGCTTTAAAAAACTAATTAAAAACATATTGTATCACAGCGCCTCTCCACTTTCTAAAGATCTAATTTAACTGTACGGTATATAAGAACATGTATATTGTGTGTAAATAGTATGTTTGTCTCTTGGTGTCTTTCATATATATATATATATATATATACACCATTTTATTTAATGTAATATAGTGTTCTTGTCTATTACTGTTCTGTACTTTGTCATGTATTTGTACCTTTTATGCGGACCCCAGGAAGAGTAGCTGCTGCATGTGCAGTAGCTAATGGGGATCCTAATAACAAACTACTCATTATTGCTTGATTAGGGCCTCACACTGTAGCCTAAATTGCATCCATCGTATCTGTGCCGTTCAGATATTAGCAAAAATTGTCAGATCCAGTTGGCACTTAGGCTGGAGGCTAGTTGTTAGCTTAGTAGCTAACACAACCAGAGCTTTGGATTAGTCTTTGACAAAACCAGGACGACATGTTCTCTTTTTAGCCAGAGGCTTACATTTCAGTTGTGTAAATTGTCCCCGTTTGCTCCAGCGAGAGGTGAAGTAAGACTAGAAGTCATGACACCAAACTCACTGGAAACAAATGTTTGTAGACACATGCAGCCTACTTTGCTCAGCCTACTTTGCTCAGCTTCCCATGGTAAACAAAGAAGGCTGCATGCAATCGCTCTCACAGTTAAGCGCTCTCTCATCTGC